GGCAAAAATCTTAAGCTACTTTGCCTTTAAAAGATTAGTCTGTCATATACCTAAACCTTCATAACCATAATGCATAATTTATATTACAAAAAAAAAAAAACTCAAGCAACTTAGCTACGCAAACATCAAACAGAGAAACTAAAAAAATAAAAATAAATTCGATGCAATCATGGAGGGTTTATCAATTCAAGCTGTAATTTGACCGATGAATACAAATAAATGGCATGTAAAAATCTTTTAGAAACAAGTGAAACAAATTCATTTATTTGTGTTTTGGTTTAATTCTTTTGAATACGGTCACTAAATTTTTACTTCAATATAGATCTTTTTCTATTATCGCTCTCCGTTCATTTTCTCATTGAATTAATCGGCGCATCGCGCGGGTACGTATACTAGTATTTAGATATGCATTGAGATTCTGTAATTTTAATAACACACCAAAAAGGGTAAATAATACAGTATATTATTTCTTTCCCTTTTCTTTTTTCTTTTACCATTTTTTCTGTTTTAAATATATATAAAGCAAATTAGGGTTTCCAAAATTCCCAATCCTACTTTCTCGGGGTCTTTCTTTCTTCTGATATAATAAATATATTTCTACCACAATACAAATTCCTCAATCCATTCAGATCATTCTTAATTCCGTCGAAGTCCCAAAAAGATCCAATTTTTAGGTTTTCTCACAATTCTACCGGCGAATATTCCGAAACAATGCCTCCGAGAGCTGTAAAGAGGACGCCGACAGGATCCGGAACGAAACGGGGCGGCCGGACAAACCGAGGGACACATAAATCAAAGGAAAAACAACCGGTAGTGATGGCGGATGAACCGGTAAAAGTTGAGGTTTCTGCAGCGGAGGAGGAGAAGAAGCTGGAGCTGAAACAAGAATTGAAGGCGGAGCAACCGGTGGCCGAGGAGAAATCCGAGCTTGAAAAGCCGGTCAAAGCGGAGCCGGAGGTGAAACCTGTGGAGAAGAGTAAGTATTAAAGTACTAATTTTTAGCAAATTGGTTTTTTATGAGCTTTTTAGATGAATTTTTGCTTTAGAGATTTTGATTTGCTTGTTAGTGTGTGCAAATTTTTTCGGCCTATTATGTTGAATTTCAATTAATTTTTTAACGAAATATATAAAGTTTAGTACTGAAGAATGTTGTATTTTTCGGTGTCTCCTCTGTTATAGTAATTCCAAGTCTTGTTAATAATCACTATGAATTATTTGACGCAAAAGGATGTCGGTAGTCCTTCTTGTTCTAGTAATTTGATTTTTTTTTGCTTATTAGTATAGAAAATATATTATTGAAAAATTATTGTAGTATAGGGACAAAAACGTAGTTGCTTTTATGGGTGTGGTTCTCATAATCACAGCAAGCTTTTGGTGGAGATGCTAGAATAAATAAAAGAAAAAAAATGTCCTAGAAAGGGTGGTTATGGGAGGAAGGATCAGAAGTATATGGCCTTTCCTCTGTCCGAAAGGGGTCATTAGATGATATGGCCTGCTAAGTCTTAATTGATACATGTTCATCCAACTTTGTATTTTC